TCTGTCTGTCTGTCTGTCTGTCTGTCTGTCTGTCTGTCTGTCTGTCTGTCTGTCTGTCTGTCTGTCTGTCTGTCTGTCTGTCTGTCTGTCTGTCTGTCCGTCTGTGCTTTTCTTTGTTCCTTTGAGCTCCTTTTCTTCGGTTACTGGGTGTTCTGGTGTGGTTTGCTTCTTCTTTCCTGTCAAACATCTATCGTCCTCATCTCCCCTCCTTCTTTTTATGTTTGTTACTCTCTTGTAACACCTCTAATCTTCTGGCGCTCATCATATGACCTTATGCAGTTTTGAGCGATGTAAAAATTCTACTAAAACTAAAAAAAGCATTCTCTTCTACTTTCTTTCTCATCGAAGATATGTATGCTTGCATCCTTTCATCCTTGTACACTGTCTTAAGTTATCAATCAAACCACATTTTTTGTTGAAAAGACAACCTCACCATCAAAATGAAAGAAAAACCAAATGAAATCGTCCCAAAATGAACCAGACTTTGTTTGATGTTTCCACAGTTGATTCCTGCGCCAATACACCTTGCATAAACGGTGGTCGCTGCACGAACCAGTTCAATGGGGGCTTTACGTGTGACTGTACTGGGACTCAATTCACAGGCTCAACCTGTTCTCAAAGTACGTTGTAACAGATTCTGAAACATGTTGTTCTTTATTCACAGCTATTTTGAGTTCGGTGAATCATCATGTGTAGGCCTACTTCTTTTTAAATTTCGTTTTCCTTATAAGATATGGTCGCTTTTAAGGACAAGCGGGCTAACCCAGATTTCGGGGGGTTTTCAGAAATCTTGCCCTACTCCAAAAGTGGGCTTTGCCCTACTCATAGGAGAAGTTTGGTTTCACTGGTGTGTGTATTTGTTTGGTTATAGAGAAAACTCTCCTTGTCTTTTAAAGAAACTGAACAAAGGGGCAATAACTTTACCTTCGATTTTCTTAAAACGGCATATATTGGGATAGCCCCCTTGTGCTTAAAAGCGACCGTATAATGTTGATAATAAAATTAATAATGAAATAACAAATCTACTGCAGTCGACTACAAATGAGTAGATGTCGTTGCGGGAGTTTTAAAAAAATCAGCTCATCAGAAATTTAATTGAACAGTCGGGATGTAGATCTAGTGGTTAAGCTACCGAACTCATAATCGTGAGATTGCGGGTTGGGGGGTTTGAGCCGCGGGGCCGACGTTGTGTCCTTGAGAAAGACACTTTCCATGGAATTTTCCTCACTTCAGTCAGGTGGGAATGGGTACCCAGCTATAGACGGCGAAAGATATTGTCAGTATGTTAGTGTTTTAGCGTCTGTAAATGGCTGCTTGCACTGTATGCTTCCCAGGAAGTTAAGTTGTTTCAGAATGCTCTCAGGTCTGCAGGGGGTAATAGTATAGATTGTGAAGCACTTAGAGCTTGCTGTTGAGCGGGGATTTGCGCTATACAAATGCTATCTATTATTTGTAATGAAGAACAAGAGGTGTTGGGAGGTGAGCAAAGAGAGAGTTGCAGTAATCCGACCTAGAGAACATGAAAGATGAAAGGAGGGTTTTCAATGAGCATTCATTCAAGATAAGGGCAAAATAAACCAAACTTTATTGATGTCTCCACAGGGGATTTCTGTGCCACAACACCTTGTCAAAACGGTGCTCGCTGCACGAACCAGTTCAACAGCTTTTTGTGTGACTGTACTGGGACTGGATTCACAGGCACAACCTGTTCTCAAAGTACGTTATAACAGATTCTGAAACATGTTATTCTTGTGGGCTGTTGGCAGGTGCTCTGGTGTGGGTTGCTCCTTCTTTCCTATCCATCATCTATAGTCCTTATCTCCTCTTCTTCTTTTTTATGTTTGTTACTCTCTTGTAACACCTCTAATCTTC